AATTTATGATCATGTAACCAACACAGCATTTACTAAGCATGCAACCCACATAACAAAAAGTATGCAACGCACATAACATTTACCAAGCATGACCCCACATAACAATTATCAAGCATGCATCCCACATAATTTATGATCATGTAACCAACACAGCATTTACTAAGCATGCAACCCACATAACAAAATCTAAGTATGCAACGCACATAACATTTACCAAGCATGACCCTACATAACAATTACTAAGCATGCAAACCACACAGCATTCACTAAGCATGCACCCTACATAACAGTTACTAAGCATGCAACCCACATAACAATTACCAAGCATGCATCCCACATAATTTATGATCATGTAACCAACACAGCATTTACTAAGCATGCAACCCACATAACAAAAAGTATGCAACGCACAACATTTACCAAGCATGACCCCACATAACAATTATCAAGCATGCATTCCACATAATTTATGATCATGTAACCAACACAGCATTTACTAAGCATGCAACCCACATAACAAAAACTAAGTATGCAATGCACATAACATTTACCAAGCATGACCCCACATAACAATTACTAAGCATGCAAACCACACAGCATTCACTAAGCATGCACCCTACATAACAGTTACTAAGCATGCAACCCACATAACATTTACTAAGCATGCAAACCCACACAGCATTTAATAAGCATGCAACCAACATAACATGTACTAAGCATGCAACCCACATAACAATTACCAAGCATGCATCCCACATAATTTATGATCATGTAACCAACACAGCATTTACTAAGCATGCAACCCACATAACATTTACTAAGCATGCAAACGCGCACAGCATTTACTATGCATGCAACCAACATAACAAAAACTAAGCATGCAAACGCGCACAGCATTTACCAAGCATGATCCCACACAACAATTACTAAGCTTGCAAACCACACAGCATTTACTTAGCATTCAACCAACATAACATTTACTGAGCATGCAACCCACATATCATTAATATGTAATTGACATAGCATTTACTGAGTATGCAACGCACATAACATTTACCAAGCATGACCCCACATAACAAATAACCAAGCATGCATCGCACATAATTTATGATCATGTAACCAACACAGCATTTACTAAGCATGCAACCCACATAACAAAAACTAAGTATGCAACGCACATAACATTTACCAAGCATGATCCCACATAACAATGACTAAGCATGCAAACCACACAGCAATCACTAAGCATGCACCCTACATAACAGTTACTAAGCATGCAACCCACATAACATTTACTAAGCATGCAAACCCACACAGCATTTAATAAGCATGCAACCCACATAACATTTACTAAGCACGAAGATACATAACAATTACTAAGCATTTAACCCACACAGCATTTACTGAGCATGCAATCCACATATTTACTAAGCATGCAACCCACATAACATTTACCAAGTATGCATCCCACATATTACAATTTCTGATCATGCAACCCACACAGCATTTACTAAGCATGCAACACACAAAACAAAACAAAAGCATGCAACCCACATAATATTTACTAAGCATGAACCCACATCACAAATTACTAAGCATGCAAACCACACAGCATTCACTAAGCATGCAACCTACAAAACAGTTACTAAGCAAGCAACCCACATAACATTTACTAAGCATGCAAACCCACACAGCATTTAATAAGCATGCAACCCACAAAACATTTACTAAGCATGAAGCTGCATAACAATTACTAAGCATTTAACCCACACAGCATTTACTGAGCATGCAACCCACATATTTACTAAGCATGCAACCCACATAACATTTACTAAGTATGCATCCCACATAACAATTACTAAGCATGCAAACCACACAGCATTTACTAAGCATGCAACTCACATAACATTTACTAAGCATGCAACCCACATAAAAATTACTTAGTATGCGACCCACACAGAATTTACTTAGCATGCAACCCACATAACATTTACTAAGCATACAACCCACATATCATTAATATGTAACCCACATAACATTTACTATAAGCATACATACCACATAACAATTAACAAACTATCAAAGCATTCAGGCTTGTAGTTTTCAAGAAGAAGTCGAAAAAGTAAAACATTGACACAGGCGACGGATGCTGGCGGCCAACGAACGATCACTCATATGATAAGCTAAAAACTAAGCATTGCCATGCAACCCACATAACATTTACCAAGCATGCAATCCACATAACAAAAACCAAGCACGCAACACACTTACAAATTACTGAGTATGCAACCCACACGGTATTTATTTAGCATGCAACCCACATAACATTTACCAAGCATACAACCCACATATCATTAATATGCAACCATACAGCATTTACTTAGCATGCAATCCCCATAACATTTACTAAGCATGCAACCCACTTAACATTTACTAAGCATGTGTGGAGTTCCATGTATAAAAGTCAGTTTAGTGAAGAGGCTGGTGTAATCGATCAACTAGATATACTGAACTAGATATCCAAATAGGAGGCCCTGGTAGAATCAAGTTGACTATCAAGCTAACAGCATATTGTAGTATTATAGTGTTATAACGAGTTAATGTTAAATAGTTATTTATTAATTATTGAGGTAGTCACTAACGCAGTGTACATTTTAGATAGCAATTAGATATATTAAACTTATATTTCATGCACAAGTGAAGTTAGACAGTCAATGCCAGTTACACATGCACACTTATATAAACAAATTTAACCACATGTTCAAGACTTCAGGATCATTACCATGTATAGAGTTAAGCGTGATATCAGGGAGAGGATGTTGTAACTACTAGAACGTAGACAGAGACACCTCAGACAGACCAGCAAAGGACTAACACCTTGTTCTAGCAGCTCTCCATGCATACTCCATGTGTTATGCACATGTACCTCAATGAAAAAACCCAACCATTATAAACTTGTACTTCAAACCATCAGTGTTTACACTTACTCAGCATCCAACCCACATAGCATTTACCCAGCATGCAATCAATGTCTTTGCATGTCTACATGATTTGGGAGCAAATATAAATTTTAACATTTAAAAACATTTTGTTGAATGAATGAAAATACCTTGTTTATTGTTTTACCAAGGGTCATGACCGTTGCTATGGTTTCTGGTGAAGTATATTTGCCTCTGATGTTTTCCAACAGTTTCATAATGTGTGCAGGAGAGAAGAAATGAGTACCAGCGACTTTGTCTGGTCTAGTAGTTGCACTCGCAATCTTATAAGAAACGAAGAAAGAATTTACCAATTATGACACAATGAATAAGTGGAATGGAAGAAATAGTTTTCCGAATTTGTTGAATTCTATCAGCAATGCAATCTTGAAACAATGCAAGCCTCAATCATTCCTTGACTACTCCCTAATTACACTGATAGTAGAACAAGCAGTCTCTCGGCTGAGATCGCTACTCTGTTAAGCAATGCTCATTTCAATTAAGGAATTGAAGATATCATCGCAAAATGAACAAATCTGAGAGAGGTCCTGCAGTACCTATATGTATAATATAAAATCAATCAGAGGTTTTACCAAACATGACAAAAATATTCATCAAAATTAAAGAATTGAGTTATTTTATCATCATGAAATAAACAAATTTAAGAGAGGTCCACATGTAGTACCTAATATATGTATGTCGCAAGTATTGACAAGGTTGACTAGTCTTACAACTATAGATAGGGTTAGAAAATTTGAGTAGTCTTCTAACTAAGAATGAGATCAAGATCAGTATCATTAGAAATTCATCAAGTTACTACTGTTAGTTACCAACCAATATCTATGAAGAGGTTTTTTTGTTCAAGTAGACATTAACAAACATAGTAAACATAATTTAACACCAGAACAGTGAATCATTCAAATAACTCACCTCATCAATGTTTAAAGATGAAGTATTACTACACAGTAAAGCACTTGGCTTACATACTGCATTCAATTTCTTGAAAATCTCCTTTTTCAGCTTCATATTTTCAAAGATAGCTTCAATGACACAGTCCACATTTGCCAGTTGACCATAATCCAATGTGGGATTGACCAATGACATTTGCTTCTGAGCCATCGCTAATGATATTCGTCCTTGCTTTACATTTCTCTCATATACTCGTTTGATGAAAGCCATTCCTCTATCAAGCAGCTGTTGTGAAAAAAAATGCAATAACAGTATAAACACCTGATAGAGCACTTGGTAAACACCTTAGGGATTGGTCAGTTACTTCGGCGTAGGGAGGGGGGTCGGTAGATCAGTAGGGGGGGGTACCCTGTTTTTGATTGTGCTAATAGGGGGGGAGGTCACCCTGTTTTTGATATCATATTTTCCAGAATTCACACACGCGCTCATGCATATATTTTTAAAGATTTTATTTCAGAACAAACGATAAAAAAGTTAATCGTACAAATGTGTTCTTAATAACTATTACCTATATTGCCTATAAATTTGTTGATGCAAAAAATGTTATAGGCTAAATATTTTGAGGTTAAAGTTGCCAAATAACTAACAGATTATGCAATGTGGCTAGAACCCCAATTATACAGTTAAGTTTTAAACACATCCCAAGTCCATGTGCTGCTGATATCAGATTATTTTATTTAAAGTCTGAAGTCACTATTGTATAAGATATTTACTGGATTTATCCAATTATAACAGGAGACGGAAAGACAACACAGCTATTAGTACAAAGAGCAGTGACAGTTTTTGTTCAGCAAATCAAAAAAGTTAAATTTGTGAAAATGCTGATATATAAATTAAAATAAATGATGACAAAATAAATAAATAGTTTTTTTCTTTTTTTAACTTTTAAATATGCATATTTTGCTCTGTAAAATACCAAAATCCAAATTTAAGCAAAAATCGAAGTTTCCTTTGTTTTCATAAGCACAGACTGTGTTTCGGGTGTAAAGCTTTCCTGGTCTATAAGATATGAAACATATTTTAAATCCAACTTAGTTTTCAAAGAGTTCAAACTGCCTAGATTCAAATCCTCTTTTCCTATCTTATAAGGGCGTTTATCGAGTAAGTACTCCACAGCTTTGCTTTTATTTACTATCTTTAGCAACATAGATTTCCCTCCTTCCTGCAGCCTTTTCTGTAGTCATTTTTTGGCTTTATGCTTCCCCTCCCCTCCTAAGGTCTATTAAATGCAAACGCTAAAAAATTATGTCAAAATTATGGCAAACCATGATATTTTCAATGCACATATAATACATTTTGTAATCATGTCAGAGCCAAAACTAATAATGTTTCTTTGTTTTTTTAGGGGGTCAGCATGTTTTAAGTTTTAAGTTTTAAAATATAATGGTGTGTGTGTGGGGGGGGGGGGTCACCCACTTTTTTTTATTTGATAGGGGGTGGGTCAACTGAGATTTACAGCTGGCAAAATGGAATCTGTTGACCCCCCCTAGGCCGAAGTAACTGACCAATCCCTTAGCACCGGATAAACACCTAAAAACACCGGATAAACACCTAAAAACACCTCATGGCAACAAACATAGATCTCAGAGCAGCTGATAAACATATCATAGCAGCCACGTTTGAAATTCATTCTTTAGTTCAGTTGATGTTTATTGTAGAAGTTTTAAAACTTTAATTTCTGTACACTTACTTGTTGGTTGACTTCAATTAGAGTAACTGGTATATTGACACTAATACATGATATAGTTATTCCAGTACCCATAGTACCACAACCAATCACTCCCATGGTATTTATTGGCAATGGCTTTGTTGACTTGTATGTTATTTTTCCACCAGGTAATTCCCACTGATATGTAAAAATGAAAAAAGTAAATACTACCCAGGTGTTATCTTAGAGCATTTACTGTCACAAGTTTCAATCAAGTAGTATTTGAGATATCAGTGGAACAGAAAGACAGCAATACAATGTACATACACAATTATGATTTATACTAATTGTGTGTTACAACTTTATTAACATTAATATCTTTACACAGATGCTTGTCAACAAGTCATGTTATGACATGCACATTTCATAATCAACAGCAGAAAATACAACTGAAATCTTCGGCTAATGTAAACCAGAACTTGCAACAAATGCTTGCAAGTGAGCGTATTATGATTGATGTACAATATAGTTTGAACTCAGCTCTGTTAAATTAATAACATTTGATATTATGAAATTTCTGTCATTCATCACTTTTTAATCCAATCTAAAATCCAAGTCTGAGTCATCAAACAAATATACAGTTTGTGTAAATTTCTGCATAATGTAGACTGTCGTACCTAATCTTAATCTGTTATTATTAATAAATATTGTGTATGAAAGTAATGCAATTCACTGGTAAGATTTCTTACCAGATCCGGGTACTTTCATATGCAAATGCAAATAGTCGCGCAAATGTCTATCATTTTATCGTGGCCAATCATAAAAAGGGTCAGGGATGGCTGGTTACTAGGATCGCCCAAGACTTAAGCGAAGTTTGTTTTGACTGTACTGTGCGTGATCGCGACACTTTCCACAGGAGTTTTTGACGAAAGCATTGTAAAAATGCTGGAACGTTAAGACTACCATGATATTTCTTGCAAAGAATACCAGTGAGACGCTATCGCAAACTACACAGAGGGGAGAGATGTGTTCGTCAGCGTGTCGTGTTGACATTCAACTTGTCAAAAAGAACTTGTTTCGACGAAACCAGGGATCCCCCCACTTTCAGTTGCCATTCTCTTAGAGAAAAATGCCTGCGACCTTTCCAATAACTCTCGCTTTAGTTTGTTTAAATTTCTTCCTAAACTCATCCATGTTTTTTTGCAGTCGACATTCTCATTCACATTGTCTGCACGCATACGAACTGACAAGATGTAGATTGATCGTCTCTGCCACAACAAATTTGCATGTCATAGTTCTGTTGATCCTGCGAAAAACAGTCTCCTTCGGTTTTCTATTTGACTTCCACAAACAATGCACGTTGTTTCCTTGGTTCTAGGCGATTTAATAGTTTTCTTTGCTATTATGGTTGGAGTGTCTGTTTTCATTGTGTTCATACTAATGTGAACAACCAAGCATTTAGGGGATCATTCAGAATAAATTTGCACACATTATGTTAATATAATTTATTTTGTGACGTCAGCATCAACTATGAATTATTCATATCAACTTGAAACCCACAGAGAGGGACAGTCTCTCGGGACTAAAGTCCCTCGCGTGAAATGGTTTGCATTTCCCATCAAACGCCTTCGGCGTTCGAATGTCTAGAAAACACAATTACATTAGGCCCGAGGACTGTCCACAGTCTATGCATAATGGTGAATATATATATATATATATATATGAAGTTTGAATGTGATTGGTCAAGACTTGTCAGAGATACGGCTCTGGACAGCATTTGTAAGATAGGATTTTATTCTGATTGAAAAAACAAAATGACATGCAACAAGCTCTCATATATGTATGTACCAAGTTTAGCAAGATCCAGACCAAGATCCAGTTCCAGAATGGCAGAAATGTTTGATTTTGATGAATCTTAAAAATAACAAGCAGCCTCTCAGCTGAGATAGCTCTGCTGTAATCAATGCACATTTCAATTAAAGAACTGGAGATATCATTAGAAAAAGAACAAATCTAAGAGAGGTCTACCTGAGGTACCTATATGTATAGTATCAAAGGAATCGAACTTGCAGTTTCAATAAGAAGTCGAAAATATCACTTTTTTATACTAAAAATGACACAAAATGAGGTACATACATTGTATACACCAAGTATCAAAACAATAAGGCTTGTAGTTTTCAAAAAAAAGTTGAAAAAGTATAAAAGTTGAACGACAGACAATCACTCATATGATAAGTTTTGCTTGAAAAAGTCGACAGCGGAGCTAACAATGATCATGATTTAACCCATTTGAATCAGATTTTGAAATGAATAGACATGTATAGATGTACATTTCCAAAGATGGATGTATGTATGAAGTTTGAATTTGATCAGTCCAGGCATGTCCAAGAAACAAATGAGGATGTATGGATAAATCAATTAAATGATAGATACATGGAGACAAATCCATAATTTCGTCTGATCGTCACAGACAGGGTTCCGGTAACAACATGACTCCCAATGTGTGCTTTGAAAACAGGAGTCAAAATGTAAGACTAAATTACTTACTTTTTGTGCTGTTCTTTCTGCAAAGAAGGCATACTGCATAGCAGATGATTGAGCACCAGTCATTAACTCATGGCCCAGCTCCATTTCTCTGTAGAGAAAAATGACACAAAACTCATGAATATAAAGTTTTCGCTTCCAATTCATGAATTTTGACAAGTTTTCTAAAGTGTTTATATTACAAATTCCTTGAGATTACATGATTATAAACTCAAATACTGTCTATGTTAATTATCACCTGCTGTAAGCTTCAACGGATTGCCAAAATGTTGTCAGCAGGCAATGTGCATTAAAAGACAAACTACTAATATTCTTCCTATCTTCTTTCTCAGAGTGATCAATCCTGTTTACCTTTTGACTCCATCCATATATGTTGGTGATTTCATAGATGCTTCGATAGCTCGCAGACAGGATAAAGGAGCCACAGCTCCTCTGGCTCGTTTCATAATTCTTTTTCTTGCCTCTAATAAAAACACAAAATATATGACTGAATTTCCACAGAAATAATGTAACTACAGGCAGTGAACAGGGAGTATAAATAAATATATGATGAATTGATATTTTGGTATTATATCTTGTCCAACAACATTGTCATAATATTCGTTGCATGTCACTATCTGCAGGAGTGCTGAAAATATTACATATCATATAATTATGGTAATTTGATATGGTAATGATATGTCAAGTTCTAATGCCTTCAATATTGCACTGGTTGCATTTTCCTATCTGTAACATTACATGTACTTGAAATATTACAATCTCATGATCTGACATCTAAAAGTGGATGTCTATTTTCTTAGACAGCTAGAAGTTAGTGTATATTTTCTCATTCTGACATCTAGAAGTGGGTGTCTATTTTCTCATTATGACTACTAGAAGATTGTTTACTTATTTTTTCATTGGAAATATTCACACCGAAATGATTGAGAAAATTAATTGGTCAATAAATCATACAGGACCAAAATACATATTAAGAATATTACCTTCTATTATAACGTTAGCAAAGTCTGCCTCTTTCACTGGCATGTTACTGACACGTCTAACGGCAACTGGTTTGCTGGCAACAGAACGTGCAATCTCTAGGGCTTTTGTAATGAAGTTGCCTGAAATGGGCGCCTACAAATATAGAAACAGAATTTGATCAAATAAACAACAAATCAAGGTCAATTCATGGAAGCTGATCAAATAACCAACAAATCAAAGTTAATCATAGAATTTGATCAAATAACCAACAAATCAGATAGAGTTTATCATAGTGATATAACATTTACATTGAGTACAATAAGTGTTCTTTTATTACCATACTAGTTTGTGAATACCTGATCCAAAATGCCCATCTTGTAGGCTTCTTTGGCAGATGCATGTCGTCCACTCAGTATGAGATCACATGAGTTTTTTAGACCAGCAACCCTTGGTAGTCTTTGCGTACCAGTGGCACCAGGAAGTATGCCAATCAACACCTCGGGAAAACCAAACCTGTACAATAAGATGAGAAAAAATTCTTGAGGGATAAAAACAAGGTGGCATTGGATACCCAAATGTATGGAATTGGATTAGATAATAATAATACAAATAATATAAACAGCCATTACAGTATCTTTAACATTTTTTCAACTTGTGAACATTCACAAAAAAAGAATCATAGATGCATATTAAGCATTATCACAGTAGCAGGAGATATAAAATCTAATTTTAATAAAATGTTTTTCACCTCGTATTTTCTTCAGCAATCCTGTAATGACATGCTAATGCTACCTCTAAACCACCCCCAAGAGCCAGTCCTTTTATTGCAGCAATCACCGGTTTACTACAGTCTTCAATAACATGAATTACTGTTATCAAATTAGGTTCTGCAAATAAAAATCATTAAAATATTACAGGAGGTGATTTTAATTGTGCACGAGACCCTTGTTTAGATAAGTGAAGCACTACTCTGAGATTGTCAAAACAAAAAAACTTTTTACTTTGATTAATAGAGCTTGAAGTTGCATGATATATGGCGGGAATTGAACCTGACAAAAAACACTGTTTACATGGAGACAAGTTACCCTGGCGATTGCGAGTAGATTAAACTATTGGTTAATATTGTCACATTTATTGTCAGTCATCCAATCCACAGACATCAGACCCGCAATTAAAACCGATCATAATGCCATATCATTAAAATTTAGTATGAACAGATTTAAGAGGTAGAGGTATTGGAAATAAAATACTGGCTTATTAGAAGATGAAAGTTATAAAAGTGTAGTAAGTAAGATCAAAGACAATAGAAAAGATACAGTAAGTAACTATAAAAACATTTCTGACAAACAAATTTTTTTAGACATTTGAGAAGTTTTAATTAAATATGGAAAAAAATAGAGCAAAATTGGCAAAAACAGGAAAATCTAGAAAAACAATTTAGAGAAACTGAAACTAAATTAGATAAGCAGTGTGGTAACAATGGGAATCTGGAAAAGGAGTATTTGGAAAAAAAAATGAAATTGAAGAAGTTGCATGTGAATAAATTATGTAGAGCTCAAATTCGTTCTCGAGTGAAGTGGTATGAAGAAGGAGAAAGAAATATTTGTGTTGGGATTAGAAACAAATACATATAGAGGCAAGCAACTAAACAAGTTGATGAAAAATGTCAAAATAATAACAAATATTACAAGAGGAAGTGAAATTTTACCAGGAATTCTAAAGACGTGGAAAATTAAACTAAAAAGCAAATTAAATTTCAATGAAGCAGAGGAGTGCAAAGGCCTCACTACTGAGGAGCAATGTTGTAGGGAAACAAAAATAAACAAAAATAAACAAGTCATTGTCAATGACACGTCCCCGTTCCGTTCATATTTGAGTGACATATACATTTTGTACATTCAAAGCAGATCATGACCAAAATCTCAGACCACTTTAAGTGGTCTGATCCGAAATGCACCTGCATATGTACAACAAATTGTACTAAATCTGAACAAAATCCATCCATGCATGACTGAGATCCGGTTCCGGAATTGTGAAAATACGTGATTTTGATGCATTTTCGGCCTTAAAATGGCCATCATTCAGCTATTGTTAAGCGGATCATGAAACAAATGCACATATCTATTTGTGACATGATGTACCATGTGTGTGTGAAGTTTGAACTTGATCAATCCAGACACGTCTCGGATACGGATCCAGAACTGAATTCTTTAAAACAAAATGGCCGCCAGTCGGCTATTTCAAACCCGATCCCAAAAAAAAATGATGTGCATCAAGGTCTTATTATGTTTAATGTATGTACCAAATTTGAACAAAATCCGTCCATGCATAACTGAGATCCGGGTCCGGAGTGGTGAAAATGTGCGATTTCAATACATTTTCGGCCTTAAAGCGGCCGCCATTTGGCTATCGTTAATGAGATCATGAAACAAATGCACATACATATTTGTGACATGATGTACCTTGTGTGTGTGAAGTTTGAACTCGATCAATCCAGGCATGTCTCAGATACGGATCCAGAATTGAATTCTTTAAAACAAAATGGCCGCCTGTCGGTCATTTTAAACCCAATCCAAAAAAAAAATTATGTGCATCAAGGGATTATTATGTTTAATGTATGTACCAAATTTGAACAAAATCCGTCCATGCATAACTGAAATCCGGGTCCGGAATGGTGAAAATGTGCGATTTTGATGCATTTTCGGCCTTAAAATGGCCGCTATTCGGCTATCGTTAATCGGATCATGAAAAAAATGCATGTGCATATGTCCCATATAATGAGTGATGTATGAGTGAAGGTTGAACTTAATCGGTCCATGCATGTTCGAAATACAGGTGATCACGGACGCACAGTTGCTACATCCAAACGGGGACTAATAAACCCCTGGAATGGATGGCATAGTACATGTGCCTTGGGAGATATGAAAGATATATTAGTTAATGCACTTAATGAAGGATTTCAGAAAAGATGTCTGGCGAACCCACAATGTTCTGCACTCACAACAATAATTTACAAAAAAAGGGCCAAGAATAGATTTACAGAATTGGAGACCAATCTTGGACAAAATGTGCATCTCAAAGATGACGTAATCCGGTTCACACAAAAGAGAAACATAGAGGGCGCTATACTGTTTCTAGACTTCTACAAAGCCTTTGACTCCATAGAAGATAAATTTATGCTGATTGTATTAGAAGAATTTGGGTTAAGATAGTTCTTTGTAAGTTGGATAAGGACAATTTATACTAACTACAAGAGCAGTATTATTAATAAAGGTTGGGTTCCAACACATTTTGATATAAAAAGGGGAATTCAGCAAGGCTGTTCACTTTCAGCTTTAATATTTATAGTTGCTGTTGAGGTCCTTTCACAAATCATAAAAACAAATCCCTTTTTAAAGGTTTAAAAATTAAAATTGGCAAAAATTAGGAGTGTGCGATTGAGATTAGTCAGTTAAATTAGCAGATGACAACCAAATATACATATATAAGCAATAATGAAGATTTAGCTTGAGTACTGAATTCAATTGATGAATATGCAAATATTCTGAACTTAGACTGAACTCGGGAAAAACAGAAGATTTATAACTGGGTGAGTTAAAAACAGGATGAACTTGTGTATTAAAGCCCTGGGTTTTTACTTTGGACACGACAAGAAAGAAACAGAAAAATTGAAATGGGAATAAAATAAAATAATAACAGATTTGCCTTTCTCTAAATCAAGGGTGCTATGTAATTATTTGACTACTGTACTACACATTAGTACAACTAGCCATTCTCATATGTGGTTGTGAAGTAATATAAAACACCTGTTGACTGGCCTTATTTGGCAACAGCATTTGTCAGTCTCCACAGCCCCTTGAGACCTTGTTGTGTTCTGGCCAATAATAATATAGATGCAACAATGGCAATCAAACAGGTATAAATACTATCCGGGGTTTCAATAAAACAATTCTTGTTAATGTGACACTGGTGAATTTTTCGTATTATTGCATGAAGATGTTTTCTTTTGTAGTACAATTATTTATCCAGCAATGTGTAGATTGGTAGAAAAGTATATCACGCACTATTCAATCAGAAGGTAAAAAAGCAATTAATAGTGCTGAAATTTACTAACCTTTAAGGAATTGATTAATACTACCGAATTCTTTGATATCAGC